AACACACACACACAAACACACACACACACTCTCACTCACTCTCACACACACACACACTCGCACACACACACACTCACACACACTCGCACACTCGCACACTCCCGCTCACCTGGACGATTCCTGCGTGGGCTTGCAGCGCCCCCTGGTGTTCCGCTCCCAGATGCTGTTGGCGGTGGCGTTGCCGATGGCGTTCAGCACCACGGTCAGCTCCCGCGGCCAGTCGTCCAGGTCGAGGGAGCGCACGCGCGACACGTGGGTGCCCAGGTTGCGGTGGATGCCGGAGCACTCGATGCAGATCAGCGCGCCCAGGTTCAGGCTGGCCCACGTGGGGTCTGCGGGACGGCGCGGCGACACCCGCTCCATCGCCTGACCCGCAGCACGGCACGACCCACAGCAGGGCCTGACCCACAGCATGGCCTGACCCACAGCACAGCGTGACCCACAGAATCATCTGACCCACAGCACGGCGTCACCCACAGCAGGGCCTGACCCACAGAATCACCTGACCCACAGCACGGCATGACCTATAGCATGGTGTGACCCACAGAATCATCCAACCCACAGCATGGTCTGACCCACAGCATGGCATAGCCCACAACACCGTGTGACCCACAGCACGGCGTGACCCACAGCATGGTCTGACCCACAGAATCACCTGACCCACAGCACAGTGTGACCCACAACACCATGTGACCCACAGCATGGTCCGACCCACAGCACTGTGTGCCCCACAGCACGGTGCGCCCCACATCCCCACAGACCATTGTCACCCTGTGGCCCCCCATGTCACCCCACATCCCTCTATTTCCCTGTGTCACCACACATCCCCACATCCCCCCGTGTCACCCCATATCCCCACGTCACCCCACATCACCCCACATCCCCGTGTCCCCCCATGTCACCCCAAATCCCCATGTCCTGCTGTGTCACCCCGCATCCCTCTGTTCCCCCACATCGCTGTGTCCCCCCACATCACCCCACATCCCTCTTTCCCCCACTTCGCCCCACATCCCCACGTCCCCCCACATCCCCCCACATCTCCCCACACCCCCCGCCCCCCATCCCCACACTCACTGGGTGCCCCGCAGTCCACGCACACCGAGTTTCCCCGGGCGTTCCGGATGGCCTGGATGGCCACAGCCTCACTCTGGCTGTCCACGCGCGCCTGGGGACAGCGGGTGACAGCGGGTGACAGCGGGTGACAACGGGTGACAACGGGAGGCCCCAGCCCCACCACCTGCCCCCTCGCCCCCTACCTTGTTCTTGCTGCTCTCGCAGCACTGCAGGCTGGCCAGGATCTGGCTCTCGATGGCCTGCACCCAGGCGTCGCGTTCCTCAAAGCTGCCAGCCTCGAAGTGCCACGTCTGCCCCGTGCTGGACACGATCAGGAACTCAAAGTTCTCCTCCTCTGCGGGGGCACAAAGCGCTGCCACGGGGCCGGGGGGCACCGCGGGACCCCCCAAAGAGGGGTCGCCCCATAGAGCCCCCCCCATCCCGCGGGTTGGGGACGCGGCGGTGCGAGCGCGGCAGGCAGGCGGGGGGGGATGCAGCCGCATGCGGGCGCGCGGTGCCACGTTACCTGTTTTATAAATATTTCTTAAACTACCAAAGCTTTTTAATTTCCACATTTTGCGTTTGGCTGCAGAAACGGCAAAGAGAGGAAAAAGGGGGGGGACAGAGAGTCAGGAAGAGCCCGAGAAGCAACGGGAGAGGAGGTGAGGGGAGGGGGCACAGAGCGGGGACGTGGCTCAGCGGGGGGGGCGGCTCCGGCAGCGGTGTGACCAAAGGGCGGTGCTGGGTCCCATGGGGAGGTGCTGGGTCCCATGGGGAGGTGGCTGTGTCCCCACAGAGCGGCAGCCATGTCCCCATACGGTGGCAGCCACGTTCCCATGGGGCAATGGCTGTGTCCCCATAGGATGGCAGCTGTGTCCCCATAGGGTGGCAGCCATGTCCCCATGCAGTGGGGCTGCATCCCCATAGGATGGCAGCTGTGTCCCCATGTTGTGGCAGCAATGTCACTATGGGGTGGCAGCTGTGTCCCCCTAGGGTGGCAGCCATGTCCACATAGGCTGGCAGCTGTGTCCTCTTGAGGTGACAACCGTGTCCCTGTGGGATGGCAGCTTTGTCCCCATAGGGTGGCGGCCATGTCCCCATGGGGTGGCAGCTGTGTCTCCATAATGTGGCGGCTGTGCCCCAATGGGGTGGCAGCCATATCCCCATGGGGTGACAGCGGTGCCCCATGGGGTGGTGGCCATGTCCTGAAAGGGTGGCAGCTGTGTCCCCATGGGGTGGCGGCTGCGTCCCCATAGGATGGTGGCCATGTCTCCATAGGGTGGCAGCTGTGCCCCATGGGATGGCAGCCATGTCCACATAGGCTGGCAGCTGTGTCCCCATAGGGTGGCAGCTGTGCCCCAATGGGGTGGTGGCCATGTCCCCATGGGGTGGCAGCTGTGTCCACATGGGATGGCAGCAATGTCACCATGGGGTGGCGGTTGTGTCCCCATAGGACGGCAGCCGTGTCCCCACGGGGTGGCGGCCGTCCCCGTGACGATGCCATCCCCCGTCCCTGCAGCTCTCTCACCTTCCGCCTGCCCCGCAGAGCCCTCAGTCTTGGACGGCGTGGAGAGCTTCTTCCGGCGGTGCTTCTTGCGGTCGACCATCGGCGACGGCGGCGGATCGCGGCCCGAGCTGCCGGGGCTGGAGACGGATTCGGGGCCAGCAGGGCCATCTGCCAAAGGGATTCGCTGGGGGATCGGGGCCGCCATCAAGGCCACCAACGGCCGCAACTGGGCCACCAGGGCCACCGAGTCCACCGGGCTCGTCGGCTTCCTTGGGGCCGCCGGGCTCACCAGCGCCGAGCGTCGCCGTGGCCACCAGGGTCCCCGTGGCCACCGGTGTCACCAAGGTCGCCTGGGGTCCCCGTGGCCACCAATGTCATCAAGACCACCGGGTTCACTGAAGCCACCAGGTTCACTGAGGCCACTGGGCTCATCAGGATCCTTGGGGCCACCAGGTCCACCGGTGTCACCACAGTCACCAGAACCACTGGGATCACCAAATCCATCCGCATCACCGCGAGCACTGGGGTCACCAGGTCCACCAGTGCCACCAGGACCACGAGGTTCACAGTGCCACCAGTGTCACTGGGGCCACCGTGGCCACCGAGTCCACCGGGCTCATCAGGGTCCTCGAGGCCACCAGGTTCACCAGTGCCACCGTGGCCACTGGGGTCACCAAGACCACCAACACCACCGGGACCACCAGGCTCACTGGGTCCACCAGGGTCACCAAGTCCACTGGGCTCATCGGGACCCCTGGGGCCACCACCAGAGTCACCAAAGCCACCACAGCTACTGTGGCCACCAGAGTCACCAAATCCACTGGGATCAGTGGGGCCACCAGGGCCACCAAGCCCACCTGTATCACCATGGCCACCAGCGCCATCAGGATCACTGTGACCAAAAGGGCCACCGGGGCCACTGGGACCACCATGATCATCCATGCTAGTGGGGCTCATTGGGGCCACCAGGGCCACCAGAATCATGAGAGCCACTGGGGCCACCAGAGTCACCAAGCCCACCGGCGTCACCAGGATCACCAGGACCAACAGTCACCAAAGCCTCTGGGGCCACCAATACCACGGGCAGTCCTCAGGGCCACCAAGGGCCACCGAAGTCACCAGAACCACCAATGCCACTGGGGCCACCGTGGCCACCAAGCCCACTGGTGTCACTGGTGCCACCGGGTTTGTCAGGGTCACAGGGGCCACCAGAACCACCAGGGTCACCACGACCACCAAAGCCAACAGGGCCACCAACACCACCCATCCTCCCACGGCCACCAGTGGCCACCTCTGTCCCCACGGTCCCCACAGCCCCAGGAGGAGCGGGGGCCACCGTGCTCAGAGGGGCCACCGCTGCCAAGGTCCCCAAATGTCCCTGGGGACTGGGACAGGAACAGGGATGGGGATGGGGACAATGACAGGGATGGGGGCGGGGATGGGGGCAGCGACGGATGAGGAATGGAGACAGGGATAGGAACAGGGACTGGGATGGGGAAGGGGACAGCAGTGGGGACAATGAAGGGGGTAGGGATGGGGACACAGGAACAGGAATGGGGATGGGGACAGGGACGGGGATGGGGACGGGGATGGGGACAATGATGGGGACAGCAATGGGGATTGGAAAGAGGCCAATGACAGGATGGGGATGGGGACAGGGATGGAGAGAATGACAGGGCCAGGGATGGGGATGGGAAAGTGACAATGACAGGGATGGGGATAGGGATAAGAACAAGGACAGGGATGGGGATGGGGCCAGGGATGGGAATGGGGACAAGGATGGGGACAAGGATGGGGATAGGGATGGGGATAGGGATAAGAACAGGGCCAGGGATGGGAATGGGGCCAGGGATGGGGATGGAGACAGGGATTGGGGACAGGGATGGAGACAGGGATGGGGATAGGGTAAGAACAGAGCCGGGGATGGGGATGGGGACAGGGATGGGGACAGGGCCAGGGATGGGAGTGGGGCCAGGGATGGAGAGGACGACAGGCTGGGGATGGGAAGGCGGCAGCTCACCGGACAGCTTGGCGCTGGAGGCGGAGGCGCAGCGCTGCAGGGGCCGCTCGCCCTTCCCCGCGCCTTTGGTCCCCGGGTCCGGGGGGAGGCTGAGCCCCACGGGCGACGCTGCGGCTGCGGGCGGGGGGGGGGCGGTGATGCAAACGTCCCCCCAGCCCCGACCCCCCCCCACGACCCCCCTCCTCACCGCCGCCGTCGGCGCCCACGTCCTTCAGCAGCCCGTTGACGCTGGCCGAGGGGCCGCAGGCGGAGATGGCGCGGGGCGGGCGCTTCCCCGGCACCTTGACCGTGGTGCGCAGCAGGTCCATCTCCTTGCCGTGGGTGCTGTGGATGTAGTCCTGGGGGGGGCGGGGGGCTGAGAGGGGACACGGAGGGTCGGGGGCACGGGGGGGGGGGGGGGGGGGGGGGGGGGGGGGGGGGGGGGGGGGGGGGGGGGGGGCTCTCACGTTGATGGTGGGGTGGTAGAGGAGCAGCCCGTTGCTGGACAGGGTGACGTATTTCTTCTTCCACTCCTTGTTGAGCGAATTGCCGCTGCGCTTCAGCAGGAAGCTCTGCGGGCGGACGGGGTCGTGAGGGGACCATGGGGGCGGCCGGGGGGATGGGGGCAGCGGGGCCCATGGGGGTGATGGGGGCAGTGGGGGAAGCAGGGGCAATTGGGGCGATGGGGGCGATGGGGGCAATGGGGAAAGTGGGGGCAATAGGGGCAATGGGGGCAATGAGGGCAATGAGGGCAACGGAGGTGATGGGGGTGATGGGGGAGATGGGGGAGATGGGAACGATGAGGACGACTGGAACTATGGGGAGGATGGGAATGATGGGGACAGTGGGAACAATGGGGATGATGGGGGTGATGGGGACAATGAGGATGATGGGAACAGTGGGGACAACTGAGGTGCTGGCAACATTGGCGACAATGGGGATGAGGGGGAGGATGGTGGGGGAGATCATAGGGAGGATGATGAGGAGGGGGGGACAACTGAGGCGATGGGGACAATGGGGACAATGGGGACAATGGGGACAATTGGGGAAGTGGGGATGATGTTGGGGACGCTGGGTGTGAGGGAGGTGATGGAATTGATGGGTTGGATGGTTTTGGTGGGTTCAATAGGTTTGATGCGTTCCATGGATCTGATGGTTCCATGGGTTGGATGGGTTCGAAGGGTTTGGTGGGTTGGGTCGGATGGGTTCCACGGGTTGGATGGGTTCCATGGGTTCCATGGGTTGGATGGGTTTGGTGGGTGAAAAGGGTTTGATGGGTTTGACAGGTTCAGTGTGTTCGTATGGGTTGCATGGATTCAAAGGGTTTGGTGGGTTGGATGGGTTGGATGGGGTGGATGGGGTGGATGGGGTGGATGGATTTGGTGGGTTGGATGGGGTGGATGAGTTGGATGTGTTCCATGTGCTCATATGAGTTCGATGGTTTCAATGGGTTCAAAGGGTTTGGTGGGTTGGGTTGGATGGGTTCCATGGGTTCCATAGGTTCCACGTGTTTGATGGGTTGGACGGGTGGGATGGGTTTGGTGGGTTGGATGGGTTGGATGAGTTGGGTGGGTGGGTGGGTGGGATGATGGTTTGTTGGGAAGCTGCTGCCCTCCAACCTGCTTGATGGGGATGGCCCGCCCGCTGCCCGCCGCCTCGCCACGGCTGTCCAGGCTGCGCTTCTCCGAGTCGCTGCCGCGCCGCGTCTGTGGGGACAGCGTGGCACCAGCAGCACAGCGCCGCCACCGGGGACGCGGGCTGGGGGCACCAGCAGCTCGGGGCCCCGCCGCAGGGGGACATCGGGGCCACGAGCGGCCCTGCGTCACCATGCTGGGGGCACCACGTGTCCTCACGGCCACCTCACCCACTCACACCCATGTGTCCTGTCACACTCACCCTCTCACACCCGCGTGTCCTCACTGCCACGCTCACCAATGCCCCCCGCACCCCGCACCCCCCAACACCTCACCCCCCCCCCCAGCGTCTGTGGGTTCCCGTGTCGCCCCGCCCCCCCGGCCCCTGGCCCCACTCACAGCAAACAGGCTGGTGCGGCGCTTGGCCCCGCGGTGCAGGGAGCTGGGGGTCCCCATGGGGGCGGGGGTCTCGCTGCGCAGCTCCCGGTGGCTGACGTTGGGGGTGGAGGGCAGCGAGGACGAGTAGTCGCTGGTGTGACCCCCATTGCTGGTCTGGGGGGGGCAGGGGGCAGCTTCAGTGGGGTCGCCCGTGGGGTTGTGGGGATGTGGGGTCATAGGGTTGTGGGGCTGCGGGCTTGTGGGGCTGTTTGGCTGCGTGGCTGTGGGGCTGTGGGGATGTGGGGGATGTGGAGTTTTGGGGTTTGGGGGGTTTGGGGTTGTGGGGCTGTGTAGTTGTGGGGCTGTGGGGATGTGGGGATTTGGCAATGTGGGGTTTGGGGGTTTTGGAGTTGTGGGGGTGTGGTGGTGTGGGGTTGTGGGGATGTGGGGGTGTGGGGATGTTGGGCTGTGTGGTTGTGGGGCTGTGGGGATGTGGAATTCTGGGGTTTGGGGGTTTTGGGGCTGTGGGGCTGTGGGGTCACCTGGGCAGGGTGGGCGCCGCCGACGGGGGTGGAGGCAGCCGAGTGCGTGGGGGAGCTGGGCAGGGACTTGCAGGACGCCAGCAGCTGCTGCTGCTTCCGCAGGGCCACCACCTTCTGGGCCACTGTGCCACCGCCAGAGGTCACCACAGTGCCACCACAGTGCCACCACCAGCGTCACCACGACGCACCACGCAGCACCGACCCCACACAGCGGCCGCAGCCCCCAGCACCCACC